AAAAAAAAAAAAAAAAAAAAAGACTCATTACTGTTGGTGTTGACCTTGATCACCTGGCTGAGGTCTTTCATCAGGTTTCTTCACTGTAAATCCTTCACTCCCTTTGGAAGAGTCACTACGCACAGCCCACAGGTAAGGAGTGGGAAGTTAAGTGTCTACAAAAATCAGTTGGAATTCTCTGGGAAATGTGTCTGTCTATTCACCCCTACTTACTCATTTATCCAGGCATTTATTTAAAGCAGCATGGACTCGCAGATGTTTACCTTATACTTTGGGTTCTACCTCAGTACTACTTAATTTTATTGAGGAAGAATCTGCATACAGATTTGGCCACCCGGTGGCCAAAATGCACCTTCTTAAGTATGTAATTGGATGAGTCTTAAAATGCTTCCAGTTGGGGGCTGAGCATGATGGCTCAGGCCTGTAATCCTAGCACTCTGAGAGGCCCAGGCGGGTAGATTGCTTGACCTTAGAGTTCGAGACCAGCCTGAGCAGAGAGAGAGAGAGAGAGAGAGAGAGAGAGAGAGACACACACACACGTCTCTACTAAAAATAGAAAAAACTGAAGCAAGAAGATTTCTTGAGCCCGAATTGGTTGGAGGTTGCTGTGAGCTATGATGGTACAGCACTCTACCCAGGGCGACAGCTTGAGGCCCTGTCTCAAAAAAAAAAAAAAAAAACAAAAAAAACTGGGCAGCGCCTGTAGCTCAAGGGAGTAGGGCACCGACCCCGTATGCTGGAGGTGGTGGGTTCAAACCCAGCCCTATCCAAAAACTGCAAAAAAACAAAAAACAACTTCCACTTGGGGAAGGTGCCTGTGAGTGTCCAGGGACCGGAACTAAATTCCTCAGTCTAGGGCCTTGGAAGATAACGTCAACTTCCCATTTCAGGTCTAGAAAAGCCCAAGTTCCCCACCAGGGGTAAACAGAGTCGCTAAGGGGCAAAAACATACATATATCAGCAGTTATTTTTCTCTGCAGCCAGCAGCTCAGGAACTTTGCTAACGGTGTCAGGGAGGGGTCTGGAGCACAAAGGGGCTGGTGTGACCGAGCTGGGTCCGCCCAGCCCCTCTAGCCCAGGCCTGGTCAAGGGGACAGTGCAGCCTTCCCAGCCCGCTACCCGTGTACCCCTCGAGTCCCTGCCCGCGCCCCACCTTTTCACATCCTTTTAGCCTCGACCTCCCTGGGACCACGCGGAGCAGATGGCCCATGAGCCCTCCAAGGCAGGCGGGCCCTGAAGTCTGGGCTGGGGCCTGGCGGCGCTGGGGGGCGGGCCAAGAGGGGGGCGGGAGGAGGCCGGACCCTTGGCCCAGGTCCTTGAGGGCGGCGCTGCGGCGCGAACGGTCCGGGTCCCTCCCAGGCGGGAGCAGTACCCGCGACGCCCTGTGCGGCTACTGAGCCATGGACAGCAGCGGGCCCTTCAGCTGCCCCATCTGCCGGGAGCCGCTCCGGGAGCCAGTGACTCTGCCCTGCGGCCACAACTTCTGCCTCGCCTGCCTGGGTGTGCTTTGGCCGCATCGCGGCTCGGGTGGCGCCGGTGGGCCCGGGGGTGCGGCCCGCTGTCCGCTGTGCCAGGAGCCCTTTCCCGACGGTCTGCAGCTCCGCAAGAACCACACGCTGTCCGAGCTGCTGCAGCTCCGCCAGGGCTCGGGCCCCGGGCCCGGGCCCGGGCCGGCCCCGGCCCCCGAGCCCTCGGCGCCCAGCGCCCCGCCCAGCACCCCGGAACCGTCGGCTCCCTGCGCGCCTGAGCCGTGGCCGGCAGGCGAAGAGCCGGTGCCCTGCGACGCGTGCCCCGAGGGCGCGGCCCTGCCGGCAGCCCTTTCCTGCCTCTCCTGCCTCGCCTCCTTCTGCCCCGCGCACCTGGGCCCGCACGAACGCAGCCCCGCGCTGCGCGGACACCGCCTGGTGCCGCCGCTGCGCCGGCTGGAGGAGAGTCTATGCCCGCGCCACCTGCGGCCGCTCGAGCGCTACTGCCGCGCTGAGCGCGTGTGCCTGTGCGAGGCCTGCGCCGCCCAGGAGCACCGCGGCCACGAGCTCGTGCCGCTGGAACAGGAGCGGGCGCTCCAGGAGGTGGGGTGCGGGTGGGGGCGGGTGACCGTGTCGCGAGCGGGCCGAGGGCCTTGGGTCCACTACTCTCCCTGGACTGGGTCTTAATTTCCTCCTCTGACCTGAGGAATTGCGCAGTCCCTTTCAGCCTTGACAATGTCATTCCCCCGCCAGACGTGGTGGTGATGAGAACCGGGAAGGAGGAACCAGTGATACAGGGAAAAGGACTCGAAGGGCGAGCAGGAAGACCTGAGTCTGGGTTAGGGTTCTTGGGGGTGTACGGTGGGCGGAAGCCGGGTAAGGCCCGGAGGGTTCCCGCAGTGCGGCTGATGTGCCTGGTGGGGCTCATGCCCGTCCCAGCTCAGATTTGCTCTGGTCTGAGGCAGCGGCTTAGAATGGGTGTGGCTGGCGACAGAAGTGCGACAGAGGGCGGGCTGGGCGCACAGATCCCCTCTGTCCAGCTGTTCCGGGGGCTGTGGTGGGAGCATGTGCGCAGCGTCCCTCTACTTCCCGCCTCCAGTTTCCTTTGGCCTCCAGCCCGGTCTTGGCGCCTCTGGCCTTGGGATTTTCCGTCTCTCCTGCCTGGACCAGTGACTCATAAAACCTAGGGGATTTGCCCGGAATCCCCTTTTTTCAGGCGGGGATTGGGGGCTCAGGCTCTTTGGGGACCGTGATCTCCAGGACAGTTTGGTGTCCTCCTGTGCAGTCACACTCCTTCCCTACTGGAGGGAGCTCTCCTATTCATTGAGCAACACTGAGACCCCTGGAGGACCAGGTACAAACGGGGCTGGTCAGAGTAGGGAGGCAGACACACAGCCTGTGCTCCCACCAGGCATGAGGAACAGTGCCCAGGCTGGAGGCACTTCTGGCGTATTATGGGACATCATGGTCACTCCCAGTCCTACCCATGCACAGATAGTACTTCCTGGTTACCCTTTTGGGGAAGCCTGGGACCCCAGTGCAGGGTTGCAGCCTCTGCCAGACCCCATACTCATGGAGGGTGTCATCCACAGGCTGAGCAGCCCAAAGTCCTCAGTGCCGTGGAGGACCGCATGGATGAGCTGGGTGCTGGCATTGCTCAGGCCCGGCGCACGGTGGCCCTCATCAAGGTCAGATCCTCCCTCCCATCTCCAATCCCTGTCCTCTCCTGCACAGGCTCCTGGCAGCCTGAGCTTTCAGCATGGTACAATCTACTGCATGTGTGCTTAGGGCTCCACCCAACCCCACTAGCATGAGTGTCACAAATCCAGGGCAGACTCAGGCTGACCCCCTCTATACCCACAAGAGGGCAGGGTGGGAAGGTGGGGTCAGAGAAAGATAGGGTGAAGTCCAGGAGTGTTCTTTTTCCTCATGGCTATCCCTACTGTCGCCTTATGCAGAGCGCAGCTGTAGCAGAGCGGGAGAGGGTGAGCCGACTGTTTGCAGAGGCTGCCATCACCCTGCAGGGCTTCCAGAACCAGGTGCTGGGCTTCATTGAGGAGGGGGAGGCTGCCATGCTGGGCCGCTCCCAGGGCGACCTGCGGCGACAGGAGGAGCAGCGCAGCCGCCTGACCCGGGCCCGCCACAACCTCAATCAGGTCCCTGAGGCTGACTCAGTCAGCTTCCTGCAGGTGAGGGCTACTCTGGGGGCTACAGAGGGAGCAAGGGTGTGAACAGTGGGTGCCTGGCCTTCCAGGCTATGCCAGCCTCCTGGCAGAGCTGTCCCCCACCTCCCCCACCACTAGGAGGAGCTGTGGCCAGCAGAGCTTGAACAGGCATTTGTCTGGCACAGGAGCTGCTGGCACTAAGGCTGGCCCTGGAGGAAGGGTGTGGCCCTGGTCCTGGACCCCCGAGGGAGCTCAGCTTCACCAAGTCATCCCAAGCTGTCCGGGCAGTGAGAGATGTGCTGGCCGAGGTCTGTGCCAGCCAGTGGGAGCAGCTTCAGGGGCTGGGCAGCGATGAGGACGGGCCGCAGAAACTGGGCTCGGAAGGTGGGCATCCTCCCCAGATGACTCACCCTCTCCTGGTCTTCTACACGGCCCCCAGGCCTGACACTCATTCAGCTGTGGAGGAGGAAAACTGCCTGGCACAGGGAGGGGCCCAAATCTTGCCAACAATTGGAGCCACCACCCTGTGGTGACCAGTCAGTCATTTTGTCCACAGTCTAGTGGGAAGAAAGGCTTCTTATAGCCCGCCCTCTACCTTCTGAGGGTGTGAGGCCCAGGGAGCAGTGGGCAAGGGGCAGAACTCTGGCATCTGACAGGGCATGAGCACAGGGTGCCCTATTCCGGTGCATGCCTGTCCCCAGGTAGCTTAAGACTCTGGGAAGACAGGGAGTAAGAGGGAGGAAGAATTACAACCATAAGTTCTGAGGGGCCATCTAGGGGAGCACCCCTCACTGTCTCCTCTGCTGTAGCCGATGCAGAGTCCCAGGACCCCGACAGCACCAATCAGCTGGAGAGTGAAGCTCCCAGGGACTATTTCCTCAAGTGTAAGTAGACACCTGGGCCCTCCTAAGGCTGCTGGGCTGGTTCCAGAAGCAGGGCCCCAGAAGGGCCCTGGCACAAGAAGGCTTGAAGTCCCCTTTCCAGCTGCTGGGGTGAACTAGGTCAGCTCCTAGGGTGGTCTCCAGCAGCACTGAGTTATGCTGATTGGGGGGGAGGGAGAGGCCATGTGCTGGGGAGGTGGCACCCAGGGAAGGGGCCATCCCATCTGATACTGGGACCTGAGCCTGATTTCTCTCTCCTGTCTGTGGGATCAGTTGCCTACATCGTGGACCTGGACAGCGATACAGCAGACAAATTCCTGCAGCTGTTCGGAACCAAAGGTGTCAAGAGGGTGCTCTGTCCCATCAACTACCCTGAGTCACCCACCCGCTTTACCCACTGTGAGCAGGTGCTGGGCGAAGGCGCCCTGGACCGGGGCACGTACTACTGGGAGGTGGAGATCATCGAGGGCTGGGTCAGTGTGGGCGTCATGGCCGAAGGGTTCAACCCCCAGGAGCCCTACGACCGGGGCCGGCTGGGTCGCAATGCCCACTCCTGCTGCCTGCAATGGAACGGCCGCAGCTTCTCCGTCTGGTTCCACGGGCTGGAGGCGCCCCTGCCCCAGCCCTTTTCACCGACAGTGGGCATCTGCCTAGAGTACGCCGACCGGGCCCTGGCCTTCTACGCTGTGCGAGATGGCAAGATGAGTCTCCTGCGGAGGCTGAAAGCCTCCCGCCCTCGCCGAAGTGGCATTCCAGCCTCCCCCGTTGACCCCTTCCAGAGCCGCCTGGACAGCCACTTTGCAGGGCTCTTCACACACAGGCTCAAGCCTGCCTTCTTCCTGGAGAGTGTGGATGCCCATCTGCAGATTGGGCCGCTCAAGAAGTCCTGCATATCTGTGCTGAAGAGGAGGTGATGCTGGGCTCTGGGAAGCTGGCTCCTCTGGGCTCTCATCTTCCCCAGGGAAGGCACAAGTCTTGGAGTCCCATATACCTCAGCCCTACCGTGTTTCTACAGGCCTCCACCTTCCATACACTCGGCCTTCCACCTCTCAGAAAGGAGGCCCTGGGCAGCACCTGTGGCTCAAGGAGTAGGGCGCTGGCCCCATATACCCAAGGTGGTGGGTTCAAACCTGGCCCCTGCCAAAAACTGCAACAACAACAACAAAAAAAGAAAGAAAGGAGCCCCCCCCCCCAGGTCCTGTCCCTCAGCAGGCCTGGACAGAGCCAAGCTACCCTGACTCCTTTTCCAGGCTTCTAGAACAGTACCTGGTGTGTAGTGGTGCACAATAAATATCTTTTGACCTACAGGCTTCTTTCTATCTTTCTCCACCCACCAAGAATTCCCAAGACCTCTCCCCCTGTTTTAAGAGCTGGCCTAGTGGCTGGCAGAAGGGGGCAGCAGAGCCCCTGGCCCAGAAGGAGGGGACTAAAACAGGGTGCCTACCTTTAGGGCACCTTGGTTTCAGGCAGGAGCAGCCATAAGTGGCAACTCCTGCAGGGTCTAGCCCACAACCATCCTGCTGCTCCAGGACTTGGGCTGGCCTGGCTCCCACCTGCTATTTTCACCCTTTTAACCACAGCCTAGCTCTGGACCTGCCTTTTGCTATTTGTGCCCAGAACTAAATGCAGACATCACACCCCCAGGAGCAGGGCAGGACTCCTGGGTGTGGGTGGGCAAGGGAGTTTGGGACTTGGAGCTTTTTTCACACGCACTCCTTCTGAGCCCAGGGATGGTCTTGACTGAGACCCTTGAGGGTGTGGCTAGAACTGAGAACATCTATAATAAAGCAACCTAAGTTCTCCAGACCCTGCATCCCAGAAGAGCCTCTGCCTTTCTCCTGGGAGGGCCCAGAGTCCTCTGCTGTCTCAGAACCCTGGCCAGGCCCAGGATGCCCTGAAGCTACAAGGCCAGTGTGTTTCCAAATCAGCCCTCTCCTCCCTGGGTTCTCTGTGGCTCAGGGGCACCACCAGAGGGGCTATACCCGAGGGCAGTGGCAGCCAGAAAGGACTCTGAGAGACAGCCAGCCAGTCAAGGTCAGGTGGGACCAAGGGTGCGTATACAGCCAGACAGCAAGGCCATACAAGTCCAGCCCAAGCCGCCTGGCAGCTAAAAATAGCCCCTCCCTCAGAGCCTGCTTTGAGCCCAGCAGCCAGGATGTTGTTTTTCCGGGCGGGGCCTCTTTGCTCCGGAGCTTTGTGTTTTCAACACTGTTCCCTTGGCAGCTCCAGGTCTCCAGCTCCTTAGGGCCCAATGGGGAGGCTGCACCAGGCAGCCCCTCCCCACCTGCTATGAGACTCCCCCCAGCACAGGGCCTCTTTTAACCCCTTCGCCCACCACCTGCTGGCTAATCTCCTCCCCCAGCTTGGCACTCCCCACCCCAGAGGCTGTCCTCGCCAGGACCCCAACCCTTCAGGAAGCCCTGGCCTGTCCTGGAACATGAGCTGGACAGACTTGGTGCTTCGTTGGTGGAATTCAGGCCTGACTGTTCATACCTTGTGTCCACAGCCGCTCAGCAAGCTTGCCACCTGCAGTGATTTCCAGCTTCCAGTGGCTTGCATGGGACTTTGTAAAACAAACATCTTAATCCTAAATCCCAATGTTACAGCCTTACAGCTCAGAGTGGGGACTGGCCCGCTCAAGAGGTGGACAGCTCTCAAAGGGCTGGGTCTTTGGACTCCCAAGTTTTGTTTCAGACTCCTGAGTCTGGAATGTTATCCACAATCCTGCACTTCCTCAGTGACCCTAGTGTAATGCTAATGCTGGGAGTGATGGAGTGTGTGTCTGTGTGCGTCTGTGTGAGAGAGAGAGGGAGAGGGAGAGGATGCCTGTGTATGTCCATGTGTCTCCAGCCCAGCAACTTTTCCAACAGTGCCCTGAGAAGATCTGGCAGGAGAAACACTGAGGAGTGGGGTGGAGGAAACTGGGGGACGGGTCCCCGTCACCACCCTACCAACCCTTTAATCAGAGATTTTATCTGTTTTATTCAAGATTGTTTGAAAAAAAGAAACGGTTAGAAAGAAAAAAATGAGAAAACCACCAATCTAGTCTCAACCTTATCCTCCCACTACTACATCCAGATGGAGAAACTGAGGCACAGAGACATTGGGAAGCGGCCCACAGTCACCTACTTCCTTCATACTCCGTGGCTTAAGTGTGTCCTGTCCCTATCTAAACACACACATGCACATACTCATACACACTCGCACACAGCCCTGCTTCCCACCTCTGCCCTGTGGAAGAGCTGCCACTGGCCAGGCTGCAGTTCCCACGGTTACCAGAGCCCTTGGCAGAGTTGCCAGAGGGTCTGTGGTCTCAGAAGCTCCTGCAGAGCCTCAGACAATGGCAGAGGGGTGAGGGCTTTTCTGAGGCTATGGTTCTGTCAGCTGAATCTGGCTCCTCGGGGCCAGGCGGGGAGCCAACCCCCACTTGAGCTTTGTTTCTGTGGGAAAGCTAACTCCAGAGATCCAACCCGCTGCCTGAGAAAGAACGGGGTGCCCCTCCCCACTGGCAGCTGCACATTGCTGGATCCTGCACCCCCTGCTTCACCACACTCCAGGAGGAAAGGGGCCCCCCTACTCTTCCCTCCTTTCTCCCCCTCTTCTGCTTCCTCCCAAGGTCCCAGGAAGGCTCCCAGAAATGCTTCTTCAACCTCCCCTTCTCCCAGGCAGAGAAAGTGAGACTGGCTAAAAATAAGGTCTGGCCTGGAAGATGACCCTGAACTGGGCGTGGCTGAGGTCTGGAGCCCTCTCTACTGGGCTGGGGCTTGGGTGGGTTTTGCCCCAGGTAGAAAAATACTCTGTTGTCCCCTTAACCATGGCAATACATTCTCAGACACCCAGTAGATGTCTGAAACCACAGATAGGACCTAACCCTATATATTTTATTTTTCCACTTTGCTAACAGAGATGGCTACTTAGTGGCTTATGGGTGGACAGCAGTGACAGTGTGGATCTGCTGGACAGAGATGATTCATGGCCCTGGTGGGACACAGCAGGACAGCACTAGATTTAATCACGCTACTCAGAATGGCATGCAATTTAAAACCTATGAATTGTTGGTGGGCGCCTGTAGCTCAAGTGGCTAAGGCGCCAACCACATACACCAGAGCTGGCGAGTTCGAATCCAGCCTGAGCCTGCCGAACAACAATGACAACTACAACCAAATAATACCCGGGCGTTGTGGTGGGCGCCTGTAGTCCCAGCTACTTGGGAGGCTGAGGCAAGAGAATCGCTTAAGCCCAGGAGTTGTAGGTTGCTGTGAGCTGTGACCTCCTTCTACCGAGGGCAACAGTTTGAGGCTCTGTCTCAAAAAACAAAAACAACAAACGAACAAAAAAAAGTATGAATTGTTTATTTCTGGAGTTTTCCAGTTAATATTTTTGGACTGCAGGGGACCTAGAGTTATTAAAACCTCAAAAAGTGAAACAAGGGGCTCGGCACCTGTGGCTCAAGTGGCTAAGGCACCAGCCACATACACCCAAGGTGGCAGGTTCAAATCCAGCCCGGACCCGCCAAAATAACAATGACGGCTGCAACCAAAAAATAGCCAGGCGTTGTGGTGGGCGCCTGTGGTCCCAGCTACTTGGGAGGCGGAGGCAGAAGACTCGCTTGAGCCCAGGAGTTGGAGGTTGCTGTGAGCTGTGATGCAATGGCACTCTACCCAGGGGGATAGCTTGAGGCTCGGTCTCAAAAAAAAAAAAAGTGAAACAAGGAATAACAGGGCATATTGTGGCATTTAACTGCAGGGTCTGTATCCCATTCAGCCTCACACCCAACACACATTCTCATCTGATGCCAACATTCAAAATCTGGAAGACAGGTCATTCTGTCTGCCTAGGGAGATCTTTTGGAAGATGCTGAAAGATGCGGAGGCCTTGGGTGGTCCTCATGGGCTTCACTTGGGATAGAGTCTCAATGTTCTTCCAAACTGCTCTGAGAGAAGGAGCAGGGCAGAAGCCTGGACCTGAGCCAGGCTCAGCAGCACGGAGCCAAGTGCTGAGGCAGGTAGAAAGGATCCTTTATGTTCTGTGTACATTATCTTTAAATGATGTTCAAATTTTCAATTTTGCTCTATAATATCACCAATTTTGCTTTTTTTTTTTTTTTTTTTTGAGACATAGCCTCAAACTGTCACCCTAGGTACAGTGCTGTGGCATCACAGCTTACAGCAACCTCCAACTCCTTGGCTTAGACAATTCTCTTGCCTCAGCCTCCCAAGTAGCTGGGACTACAGGTGCCTGCCACAATGCCTGGTTATTTTTTGGTTGTAGTTGTCATTGTTGTTTGGTAGGCCTGGGCTGGATTCGAACCCGCCAGCTCTGGTTTATGTGGCTGGTGCCTTAGCCTCTTGAGCTACAGGTGCCGAGCCACCAATTTTGCTTTAATATTAAAAAACATAATGCTTTTTTTGTCCCAGACTTGGAGAATGGTTTTGTGTGTGGGTTGTGCTAAAAATTCCACCTCAACCATTTTCTGTGTCTTTGGGAAATATACTAAGGTCCCATGCCTCAGTTTCCTCACTTGTAAAATAGAGATAAGGGTAGAACTGAACGGCATTGTTTTTTGTTTTGGGGTTTTTTGTGGTTTGGTTTTTGTTTTGTTTTGTTTTGTTTTTTGAGACAGAGTCTCCCTCTGTCACCCTAGATAGAAACCTGTAGCGTCATAGATCACAGCAACCTTAGACTCTTGGGCTCAAGAGATCCTCTTGCTTCATCCTCCCAAGTAGCTGGGACTACAGACACCTGCCACAACATCTGGCTAGTTTCTCTGTTTTCATCAGAGACAGGGTCTCTACTCTCTCTTGTTCAGGCTAGTCTTGAACTCCTGAGGGTCAAGGGACCCTCCTGTCTTGGCCTGCCAGAATGCAAGGATTACAGGCATGAGCCACTGTGCCCACCCTGCATGGCATTGTTTTGAGGATTAAATAAAGTAATCCTGGCACAGAACAAGCTTTTCTTTTCTTTTATTTTTTTTGGCAGTTTTTGGCCGGGGCTGGGATTGAACCCACCACCTCTGGCATGTGGGGATCAGTGCCCTACTCCTTTGAGCCACAGGCGCTGCCCTTCTTTTCTTTTTCTTTTTTTCTTTTTCTTTTTTTTTTTTTTTTTTTGAGACAGAGCCTCAAGCTGTCCCCCTGGGTAGAGTGCCGTGGCATTACAGCTCACAGCAACCTCCAACTCCTGGGCTCAAGCGAGTCTCCTGCCTCAGCCTCCCAAGTAGCTGGGACCACAGGCGCCCGCCACAACGCCCGGCTATTTTTTGGTTGCAGCCGTCATTGTTGTTTGGCGGGTCCGGGCTGGGGATT